GTTGACCTTCTCCAGCTCCAGGAGGTGAATGCGCAGCACCTGGATCGCCTTCACCATCTGGGCAGGGGCACAATGGCAAAGTTAAAATTGATATTCCCACCCAAAATTTAACTGGGACTAATCCCCACAGCAGAATTAAATCAGTTTCCTTTCTCAACACACCAAAAAAAAGTCAGTATTCAGGTCAAAACCCATCCCACAGCCCATCCCGCTGCCTATCTGTGTTTCTTTCCTTTGCCCATCAATCACAAATCCTCACCCATCTGAAACCCCAAGAGGAAAAATTCACCAAATTCACCATTGCCTTCACAGGAATCGCTCCCCTTGCCTAAAAAAAACCCCATTTCTTTTCCTTTCCATCAATCAGATTTCTGAAACCCCAAGTGGAAAAAATTCACCGGATTTGCCATTGCCTTCATGGGAATTGTTCCCCATACCCATAAAAAACATTTCTTTCCCTTGCCCATCAATCTGAAATCCTCACGCATCTGAAATCTCAAGATGAAAAAATTCACCAAATTTGCTGTTGCCTTCACAGGAATTGCTCCCCATTCCCAAAAACCCATTTCTTTTCTTTGCCCATCAATCAGAATTCTGAAACCCCAAGAGGAAAAAATTCACCAAATTCACCATTGCCTTCACAGGAATCACTCCCCATGTTCAAAAAAACCCATTTCTTTTGCTTTCCATCAGCCAGAACTCTGAAACCTCAAGAGGAAAAAAATCACCAAATTCACTGTTGCTTTCACAGGAATTGCTCCCCATACACAAAAAAAACCCATTTCTTTTTGTTGCCCATCAACCAGAAACGCTTGCCCAAAAAAAAACCCCAAGAGGAAAAAGTTCACCAAATTCTCTGTGAAGAATTTGCCTTCATGGGAACAGCTCCCCATGCCCCCAAAAAAAAAAAGCCAAACCCCTCGTTGTTGAAAAGTGTTTGGTTGTTCTCTGGAGGCCACTTCTTCTAACGAGATTACGGGGCTGCAACTCAGCCGTGAGCTGTTGCTGGTGCAAAGCCTGGGCCTCATTAAAACGTACCCCATAAACCTTAAAAAATTTACACATAAAACATTCCTCTCAGCGAGCTGAAACCTTAAGTTTTACAGCCACTGTTTGAAATCTTGCATAATATATAAAATTTCAGCTATTCACTCCGGGGCAATAAATCCGGTTTTATGTAACAAAGCGTCTTTGCATTTCAAAGGGTGTTTTTAACTTGCAAATTTTAGTGGTCATCTTTACAAACTGCAAGTTGCCACGGCTGGGAAACATCCTGAAAAATCCAGGGCCAAACTCCAGGGGCAGCTCCACGATGATGGAGAAAGTGAATTATTTTTGGCTGGCGAGCAACAGGGACAGTGGGTCGCGGCTGGAATGATCTTTTTTTTGACTTTTTTTTTTTAGGTATTTTAAATATATTTAAATATATTTTTTTCTGGGTTTTTTTCCCCCTCCTCCGCAGCTGACACTGGCAGAGCACAAGGTGGAGGTGTCGTGCCCAGGATTTCCGCATCCTCCCGGGGCTCACCGGCCATGAAAGTCAATATTCAAGGGCAAAGGCAAGAAGACCTGACACATATATGTAAAAAAATAAATCTCTCAATTATCTCAGCTCATTTGCTTAGGGTCTCATTTTATGTCCCTGCTCCGCTGCGTCGTATATCTGTCCGGATAAAGAGTTACAGTCGGACGGCGTACGTGCGCGGGGTTGTAAAAAATACAGATGCTGAATTAATTGACTGTGTGGCACTCGGCAGCTGATTGAGTTGATAATGGTGAGATCTGACCTTTTTCTAATTTCTAATTATGTGCATCTTGGCAGTGAGGAATACATGACTCTTGTTCTAATGATAGCTAATGCCGCTGGCCTTTTCAGCCCCGCTTTGCCATCGCCCATTTCTGGCGAAACGGCGGCGTTTTAAAAAAAAAAAACAACATCACCCAAAAAATAACAACAGGAAAAAGNTATTTTAAATATATTTAAATATATTTTTTTCTGGGTTTTTTTCCCCCTCCTCCGCAGCTGACACTGGCAGAGCACAAGGTGGAGGTGTCGTGCCCAGGATTTCCGCATCCTCCCGGGGCTCACCGGCCATGAAAGTCAATATTCAAGGGCAAAGGCAAGAAGACCTGACACATATATGTAAAAAAATAAATCTCTCAATTATCTCAGCTCATTTGCTTAGGGTCTCATTTTATGTCCCTGCTCCGCTGCGTCGTATATCTGTCCGGATAAAGAGTTACAGTCGGACGGCGTACGTGCGCGGGGTTGTAAAAAATACAGATGCTGAATTAATTGACTGTGTGGCACTCGGCAGCTGATTGAGTTGATAATGGTGAGATCTGACCTTTTTCTAATTTCTAATTATGTGCATCTTGGCAGTGAGGAATACATGACTCTTGTTCTAATGATAGCTAATGCCGCTGGCCTTTTCAGCCCCGCTTTGCCATCGCCCATTTCTGGCGAAACGGCGGCGTTTTAAAAAAAAAAAACAACATCACCCAAAAAATAACAACAGGAAAAAGGACAGTGTAAACAGGGTAAAAGGGTCAGCTCAAGAACAGGCTGAAATGTTGAGCTTTGAATGCTGTAAGATCATTTTTACCCAAAATTCCCTTCAATTTCTGGCAAACTGGTGGCATTTAAAAAAAACAAAACCAACACCCAAAAAATAACAACAGGAAAAAGGACAGTGTAAACAGGGTAAAAGGGTCAGCTCAAGAACAGGCTGAAATGTTGAGTTTTGAGCACTACAAGATTTTTTCTACCCAAAATTTCCTTCAACTAGTCCCTTCAATTTCTGGTGAACTGGCAGCGTTCAAAAGAAAACGCCCAAAAAAATAACAAAAGAGAAAAGGACAGTGTAAACAGGGAAAAAGTGCCAGCTCAAGAACAGATTGAAATGTTGAGTTTTCAAACCAGCAGCATTCAAAAAAAAAACAAAACCAACACGCAAAAAATAACAACAGAAAAAAAGGACAATGTAAACAGGAAAAAAGTGCCAGCTCAAAAACAGGTTGAAACGTTGAGTTTTGAGCACTGCAAGACTTTTTTACTCAAAATTCCCTTCAATCAGTGCCTCCCACCAACAGRAAACTGCTTCTCCAACACTGTATTAACCACATACAAATTTTTACAAATTTTACAATCTGGGATTTTACAAATTCCAAAATTTTAGGGGTTTGGGGTTTTTTGGTTTTTTTTTTGCTTTACCTGGCTCCATTTCTCTCCTTCTTCTAGCCACTACACCCATTTTTATGCATTTTGATACAATGGGGGTTTGTTGCTGTACCTCAGCATTTGCTCAGTCCAAAAACTGAAAAAAATCCAAACCATTGGTTGGGTTAGGTTTGGTTGGATTTTTTTTTTGATTGCTTGTCCCAGAGCGATTTCTGTTCTTGACTACAAGTCATTGCAGAATGGGTTTAGCAACGTGCAAAAGAGGCTTTGCATGGCCTGCAATTTTTTTGGAGGGCATCCTGCAGACTCTTGGCTTAGGAATGTTAAAAAACTTTCCCCCACAAGCTGAAATCAGGTAAAATGTGGGATTTTACATCATCTTGAAATTACCTCTTGCTTTTTTTTTAAAAAAAAAAAAGGTAGTTCTTCCACCCAGATGAGTTTTGCTGTTGTTCTCTTTGTGATCAAAATCACCTCCTTGATATCTGTAATACTCAGAAAAAGTAGCCTGCGAATTGCCTGATTTTGCTTCTTTTCTGGGATGGAAATGCCTCTGCTACACATCCCAGGGACACACAACACCCCAAGGAAGGTGTTTTGCTGTTTGCACATCAGAGGTGCACAGAATTGCCTCTTCAGATCTTGAAAATTTGCTTGTGGAGCATCAGGGTGGTGCCAAGACCTTGTCTACCCCACATGTTTGCCATGGAGAGCATGTCTGGATGTTTTCTGGACAAAAATGGGATTTGTGGACATTTCTTGAGGCCCACAAGAGAGAAATCCCAAGCAGAGTCTTCTGAGGC